GAGGGTGTGCAGGGCTGAGATTTCTGGTGTTTCCAGTCTGTTCAAGGAATTCATTGGACAGTGAACCAAGATTGAGTAAACTGGATTGGATAAAATGGAGAACTCCCTTAAAATGGTTTCTGTTGATTTAGTATTATCAATAGAACAATAATAAAAATATGACTCTAGGATTTCTTCTTTTATTTAAATATTTTGAGAATGCCTTTACATGCCACAATGTATTGTCAATAAAAAGAAATTCTTTACTTATATGTTCTTGAATAACTTCAAAACAGACATGAGTTATTGACTCTATTTCAAGAAATTTAATAAGTTCTAAGATGCCAACCAAAAAAGTACATCAAATGTTTTATTATCTTTGGTAGTGCAATGAATACACTAATATATGCATGAGCTCCTTTGATTCATTGGAAACCTGAGTTATGCTTTTCCAATTTAAAGCTATGTTTATAGTTGTTATGAGCAGTCATTGTAATGCTACAAAACAGTTATTGCTCACGGGGACTCCATAGAATTGAAATCATCGTGAAGTGAGTCTTGGATGAGGAAAAAGGAGATTTGATAGAAGAAAAATCAAGAAAGTTTATTATACTTTTTCATTCATCCACTTATGTATTTATTTCAAGTGACCAACTCACCCCTGCCAGAATTCAGTAAGTTTGACTTAGATGTTCAATTCGATTCTATATTGAATAGTTAAAGCAATGGATCATGATGAAGACCATTCAGACTCATGGTAAAGTAGCGTCAGAGTAGACCAAGGCATTCTGTAGCATCTCTCCCCATGAGAATATTCACATTGAACACCAGGCCCAAAAAGTTGCCTGGTGATCCCTTTGTTCTTTTTTTGTGTGATTCTGCCCCACTATCATTCAATGTTGCAATTGAAGGGTAGCAATAGACAAGAGAGCTTGTTAAACAGTACAAGGTTCAACAGAGTTTTCATGTTTCGTGTCTGATGCATTAATGACTATGAAACTACAGTAATAAATACAGACCAGAGTAGTGTAAGAAACAGGAGTTAAAATGGCAGCATTTCAGTAAATACCTCACAGACACCAGGGAGACAGACAGAAGACTGCATGACTGAGGCAAGCTCTCAGGATGATGCCAGAGTGGGGCCCATCTTTTTAACCACCTTGAAAGTCATACCAATACCAGCTGCAACATACCACACAAAACCACGTGATACACGATAGAGAGCAGCTTAGCGCTTGTTTTAGTTACCTAGTGCTGATATTACCTATAACAGAAATATCGTAAATGGGCAGCTTCAGCAAACAGAAGTTCATTGTCTCAAGGTTTTAGAGGCTAGAAGTCTAATGTCTGAATTCAGGGTACAAACTCTAGAGGAAAACGTTTTATCTAGAGGCTTGGAGGAAGGTCATTGTCTCTAGTCAATATTTGTGGGCTCAGCTTTCCTTGGAGATGTCCATATGCCTGGATATCAGTCTTCCTCTGGCGTTAGGAGAGTCTCAGCACAGGAAACCAGGGTCCAAAAGATGGGCTTTGCTCCCAACTCTTCTTTCTTAGTGGCTTGGTCCCTCCTTCTCTGGTCACATCTCTCTCTGATCGCCTATAAGATAAAAGAGGATGCAGGTCATACCCCAAAGCCCTTACTTCAGATCAGGGCTGTGACCTGAGTAAATGTGTTGCATCCCACCCTAATCCTCTTGCAGTGGGTTGAATGATCACATCAGATCACATCATAGGGAATGAGTTACATTATTGCATAATTGCCCAACTACTGAGAATTCTGGCCCAGCCAAGTTGACACATTCTTAAGCCATGCCGGCACTGAGCAGAAAACATGTAATCGTCTGTTTTTGAAATAGTTTTTAAATAAAACTGTTTATTCCAATGAATTGAGAAAGAGCAATTTCAGAAGCAGAAAATATAAAGATTACCACTAGTCTTGTCCTCATGTGGTGCTGTAGGATAAAGCACTGGACCTCGAGGTCAGTTTGAACCACAAGGTCGGAAGTTCAAACTCACCAGTCACTCCTTGGTGGTGGTGGTGGTTATGTGCCGTGGATTCGGTTCCGACTCATAGTGACCCTGCACAGGGTTTCTGAGGCTATAAATCTTTACAGGAGCAGAAAGCCTTCTCTTTGTAATGAGGAACGGCTGGTAGTTTCAAACTGCTGACTGTGAGGTTAACAGCCCAATTTGTAACCACTACACTACCAGAGCTCTCTTTTCCATTGGTGGTTTTGTTATGTGCTGTCGAGTTGATTCTGACCCATAGCGACCCTGTACAGGGTTTCCGAGGCTGTAAATCTTTATGGGAGCAGAAAGCCTCCTCTTTCTCCCGCGGAACCACTGGTAGTTTCAAACTGTTGACCTTGAGGTTGGAAGCCTGACTCATAACCACTACACTACCAGAGCTCCATAGAAACTCTATATAGGGTCACTATGAGTCTGCATCGACTTGACGGTACTTAACAACAACGACACATCAACTACTCTTATGGTAATATATGACTCTGAATGGGTAAAAGAAAAAAATCCTGTTAAAGAGGCAAAGAGTTTAACAGCAGAGACACCAAGAAGCCGTAGCAGAGAAATGGTAGCAGTAGAGGAAGCAGAATCAAGAGATTGTCAGGAGACAGCATGGAGTGAGGGAACTGTGTGCCTTTGGACAAGAGGCTTACTGGTGGAGTGGGGTGCCTCTGGCACTTATTGACAGAGCTAAAGAGCTTTGTGACACTTGCCTGAGCAGAGCGGAGGCCAGGCTGGCCCAAGAGGGCCAGAGTGGGCCGAGGACTAGAGAGAGGCCTGCTTATTAGCATGGCTGAGAAGAGGCTGTCTTGATCCAATCACTATATCCTGAGTAGTTAGTGATCCTGACTTGTAACCTGGTGGTGCTGTGTGGAGTCTGTTCTGACTCATAGAGACCCTTTATAGAGTTTCAAAGGCCGTAAATCTTTACAGCAGCAGAAAGCCTCATCTTCCTCCCACGGAACAGATGGTAGTTTCAAACTGCTGATCTTGAGGTTAGCAGCCCAACTCGTAGCCACTACTTCCCTAATGAATCCCATCAATGTGAATTAATAAGTAAATAGAACCAGGAGATGTCCTTTTTCTCACAGTCTTTGTTATGAGGTATCTCCTAATTGAATACGAAGCAAGAGCTTTTTTACAGTGATTATTGTTGTGGTTCCATGCAGTTGAGTCTGTTCTGACTCGTAGTGACCCTGTATAGGGTTTTCGAGGAGAGACTGGTGAGTTTGAACCACTGACCTTGCATATGCATAAAGCTCATAAATTACATATTAGTTTTGACATAGAACATAAAACATTTCCATTTGCTGATTTTCTTTGTTTGCTATGTTAGTGCTTTTAGCTTGTCGTCAGTTTAGTTGAAGATAGTCTAAAAAAAGTATTTCTTTACCTACTGGCTGATATCCAGTACTAAGAGCTACCTAGTAAGCATTCATAATTTTCAATCTTTCTAAATCC